TAAATACACAAGGGGATGGTTGAAAGGATCTATATTAGTGAAAGTAGTCGAGAAAAAGGACATTTCAGAGGTTGATAGTAGCTTGAGTAAATATAGGTTTAAGATTTAGTAGATGTACCTTAAAATCAAGGCTGATATATATTGAAAAAGCAGCTAACAATAACACTGGTAATGTTTTATACATTTCTATGTAAGGCTGGTAAGAAAGCTTATCACTTGCCAGCAGATTTCCGGGGGAAGTATGGTGAACTACCACATCTCTATATGAATGGAGATGATTACCAAGGCGCAGACTGAAGAACAGGTGAGTTGATTGGTTCTAAGGAACTTCTCTGGATAAGGAAAGGATGAGATATTACCCACAAGTACTTCAGACATCCATAGGACAGCAGTCTCCCAGAGATTTGCGCACCGGGAGACAAAGGAAAAAGCCATCATGTCTCAACCATGGCAGAGCCTATTAAAGGACATTGGGTTCCCTAACCTCACTTTCAAATCAGTTTTGGAAATCATCTATTTAATTATATTAAGGCTATTAGAGATCCTTGAAATGACAAGTTTCAAAAGCTACCTAGTGAGTTTAATCTTCATTCTTGAATAAAATAAATATTAACCATAAACTTAACAATTTAAGAAATTGTAAATAAATGGCAAAAAGCTAAATAATACTCTGATCCAAGAAAGTTATCAATGAATTAAAGAACCAGACAAACATAGAATATTTTGCTATAGGTTTTTGGAATGAATATATACCGTGTTTCCCCCCAAAATAACATCCACCCCAATAATAAGCCCTAGCCTGCTTTTTTGGAGTGTGCCTAATATAAGCCCTACCCTCAAAATAAGCCTGGGGGATGGGCATGGCCAGCACGAGAGGTGGCAAGTGCCAGGGGGGCGACGGTGTCTGGCAGGAGCCATAGCCCACTGGCCCCTTGGTGCAGCACAAATACCATTAAGTCCAAGTATGGTGGCAGAGGTGGGAGAAGAAGATAGGGGATCCGGATGTACTTCATGACTGCCTGACTCAAGGGAGGCTTGTGCGGCAGTACCAGCAGCAGGGAGAGGCAGAAGTGTAGGGGATGGGGGGAGACAGGTGATCCTAATGCCCCATGTGGGTGCCTGTTCAGCGTGGCTGCAGACAAGCTGAGAGATGGTGGGATGGAGTGGGCAGCACGTTGGGATCACCTCTCCCTCTGCCTCGTTCTGCTGTGCACTTTTCACCCAGAGGGAGACAAAGCTTTGTCTGCTTGCAATAACACCAGGTCTTATTTTCAGGGAAACATGGTTTATACACACATACATATACACATACACATACACATACACAAACACACACACACACAGACACAGAGTGAGGGAGGGAGAGGGAGAGAGATATTTTCATGGAAACTACATTGTTTTGTCTATCCAAAGTCATAACAGACATTCAGGACTTCAAGATTTTGGAAACTGATCACCAGAGGTCAGCAATTAAGTCTGTTCCTATGGATAGACTTATGTCCAAAAGATGTTAATGAAGGAATGACAGGTGTGAAAGAAAATATTTTGAGAAATTTACAGGATAAATAGATGGGGATTTTTTTTGCCTGATCTCCCCCCCTCCGTCTCTTGTCTCTCTCTTCCCCCCCTCTCTCTGTGTCTGTCTCTCTTTCCCCCATCTCTTGTGTGTGTCTTGTCTCTCTCTTTCTCCCATCTCTCTGTGTCTTGTTTCTCTCTTTCTCCCCTTTCTCTCTGTGTCTGTCTCTCTCTTTCCCCCTCTGTATGTCTGTCTCTCTCTTTTCCCCCTCTATGTGTCTGTCTCTCTCTTCCCCCCCCCATCTCTCTGTGTCTCTTGTCTCTCTCTCTCCCTCCCTCCCTCTCTCTCTCTGTCCCCAGGGGCGAGGGAAGGAACTTCTGAACTGGTGCTGGTTAGTGAGAATCTGACGTCCGGAGGCCGACGAGCCACGTACTGAAGAACAGATGGGGGCAATTCCGCAAAAATATCTTGTTGCTTGTAAGCACTTCTGGTTAGGAGGAAGAAGAGCATGGTGGGAGGAGGCCTGTCGGGTATCAGAGGGGCAGTGAGCATTTCGTGGCTCCTAAGGGGGATTTGGCCTCCCCGCTCACATCTTTGCCTGAGGGCATCGCTGGCAGCTGCTTCCTGAATTTCAGGAGGTCTGTGCTTTTCCCGCTGCTGCTCGGCCTCCTCGATGCACGAAGGCAGGAGGCGATGGTTTTGTTCACTACCTGCAAGCTCTGGTCAGCAAGCAGCCAAGCAAGCAAGCCAGCAATCTGCTGGCTGCCTCTAATCTGCAGTTTATTCGTGAGCACCATTGGCCTTTCTCCCTAACTCTCCTGGCCAGTGGTGCTCACGAGTAAACTGCAGCTAGGAATGTCAAATACGGCCAGGAATGAACATTTGTGTGGTAACCGCTGGCTGGAGCTACTAAATAGGTGGACAAACTAAGTGCCTGAAGGACCCCATCCTGTCACTGGGAGTCCAGGTGACTTGGCAATTGGCGAGCGGCTGGGCTCCTCAAGAGACAGAGTTCGTAGGGAACTGATCTACCACTGGCTACAACACAATCTTCATTCTCATCCATATTTGAGATTCCTAGGTAGGGTTGACTTTGGCAGCTTCTCTCTGCCGGAGTGCTCCCTGGATGTGGCTTAAAACTCTGAGCCCAAAGCAGCAGGAGGCACAGGCTCCTTGGTGCCATCAGCTTTGGGCTCTTAGGCGTCCATGGAGGATACACTCATATTGGCACCGAGTCCAGGGTCCCAGAAGGGTGCAGGCTAAGACTTTAGGGCTTTCTTTCTGCCTTGCAGAAGCAGAGATGGGCGGGAGGCCCCAGAGCACCCAGGGCACAGCACAGGGCGCAGGAGATTGCAGCCCCAGAGCACACAGACCACAGCGGGCGGGCAGCACAGCGCTCTCCCGAGGGTTACCGGCTTGCCCCTGTCCACCTCACTAGTCCAGTGGGTGATCTACTGCGTGCTTCCCTTCCAGGCAAGCCAGCTTCGGGAACCACATGGGGAGGCTCTGGGGATGTGATCTCCTGCACACTTCCCTTGCAGGCAAGCCGGCTTCGGGAACCACACAGGGAGGGCTCTGAGGCTGCTATCTCCCACAGGCTTCCCTTGCAGGCAAGCTGGCATCGGGAACCACATGGGGGGCGGGCTCTGGGGCTATGATCTCCTGCGCCCTTTCCTTGCAGGCAAGCCAGCTTCGGGAACCACACAGGGAGGGCTCTGATAGGATCAAGATTACAAGCATGGCAAATATTCTCTACACATTATGTCAGGATGTTCAAAATTAATTGAATCTATTTTGAGCATGTGGTGAAGTGTTCAATTATGACAAAACCACAGAAATGTCTGTGGAGTATACAATGACTTCATTACTTTTCATAATCATTTTAAAATTGCTCATCAGCTTTTCATTGTATTTTTTCTACCTTGGTTGTGGGTTTTGGTTTACATTCCAGGAGAAAAGATTCAAATCTTTCCCTTTCCAATCAAGCAAAAGTAAGTGCCAAAACTTTAAAGCAAATGCATCTACCTGTCTGGCTAAAGAAAGAGGTATGTTTAATATTGTCCATCAACTGGGTCTGGAATTTCTGCACCTGAGAACAGAAATCTTTACCCTCTGTTATGATATTTGATTGGTGGGCAAAACATAACAAGTGCTCATCATATGGATAGTCCTTGGCTTTCAAATGATCACTTAATAACTATTTTGCTGGACTCCCCAAAATCTATTTATAATCCATTTTTGAAATTACAGCAGCTGCACACCCCTCTGGGCATCTGATTGCATTTTGGGTACTTGGCAACTGACTCACCTTTATGGTTGTTTGCATGTCCCACGGCCTAATGACCATAATTTGTGACATTTTTTAATGGTTTCTGTCATTTACTTTTGGTTTCCAGTGAAAAATGCCCATGGTATTTGCTTAACCACAATATTTGCTTAATGCCTGCAGAATTCACTTAATAACCACCAAAACAATGTCAAAAATCAGATTTGCTTAAGTGATTCCCAACTTATGACTATAACAACTTGTAACTGTAATTCCAGGCTCAATTCCAGTTGTAAATTGAGGACCACCAGTAATATATCACATTCTAAAAATTTTGAAATTGGTAATGTACAAATCTTTTTGTTGCAATATAAAACTTCCTTTGAAATAGCAATTGTAGGAATGTAATATTGACTTGAATACCAGTGAACTGGTGGAAAGGTAAGATATATTTGTTTTTAAAAATGTAAAAATGATGCACTCTATTAAGTTCAGTATAGCATACTGTCTGAAAGTTTTCATTTTTAGTTAAGAGAAATTTAAAACAATCCTCTTAATTGATGCATTTCTTTGTGTAGAATAGCCAGAATAGTCCAGTACTGAGCAATCCCACCCTAGGACATTTCAAAAGGCTCAAAGTTGCAAAGGAAGATATAATGTGCTTTAAGAGAGCTCTCTATGTATTGGAAATCAAATACAGATAGTCCTCAATTTATGACAATTGAGCCCAACATTTCTGCTGCTAAGTTAGTTGTTAAGTGAGTTTTGCCCCCTTTTACAACCTTTCTTACCACAGTTGTTAAGTGAATCACTGCAATTATTCAGTTATTGACACCGCTGATAAATGAATCTGGCTTCCCCATTGATTTTGCTTGTCAGAAGATCGCAAAAGGTGATCACATGACCACAAGAATGGTCGTGTGAAAAATGGTCATAAGTCACTTTTCTCAGTACTGTTGTAACTTTGAATAGTCACTAAATGAACAGTTGTAAATCAAGGATTACCTGTAGATCTGTTTCAGAACATGTTTGGCTTTATATCTTCCAGTAAAGTTATTTAAAGTGATTCCAGTATAGAAAAATTTCAGAAACACAAATGCTTGAATGTATAGAAAATGTGTTAAACTTTGCATAAGTAGTAATTCATTGAAATTATCAAATAATCATTCTGAAGTTCAAAACAATAATTAAATCAAATGCAACATTTTTTGTACGTACGAGATCCTTCTGTTCTAATTTTCTGTGACGGTATACTAGGATCTCCTGTCCCTAAAATATTAGTGGCCATTATATGAAATTCATATTCCATCCATGGAATTAAATCAATAACTTTTGCTGATTCCGCATTTCCATCAACAATGGAAGGATCTAAATACAAACAGAGACAATAATTAAAAACAGCACTGCAACAAAAATCATATCCTAACATCTAATATTGGCTTGCTCAAGTGATTTTAATTGCTGAATAATCCAGTTTAATTCCTTGAATGAATACAGAAATATGGATGGAGAAATCTGTTAGGACGATTTTTCTGTTTTTCGTTTTGCCCATTTTGAATTGTTTTTGTTCATTTATTCAGCAGGTTGTAATTTTTAAAAACAAATATGTATAAAACACATTTATTTGAAAATAAGTTTCCTTTTTCTTAATAGCCACATTATTTAAAAGCTTCATTCTATATATGTGTTTATACATTTTTCACTAATGTAGGTGTTATTTTTGTACATTTCTACTGTATGCACCTTTTGGAAAGATGTGCAAAATTCTGAACAGTGTGAATATCAAGAGATATCTGCATTCATAGTTGCACATCCTTTAGGAAATACTTCATGGTATAATAATGGACTGATTTTTTTAAAAAAAATATAGTATTTAATGAGTAAAACAATTACTTGAAATATGAGTCAAACACATTGGCAATCAATGTGATTGGTGTAATGAATATTACACAAGAACCATTGCCCAAAGTATAACTAGTACTAAGATAATATTTAGTACTATTTGGCACAGTAGTTAGAATGCAGTACTGAAGGCTAATTCACTGCTCATTCCAGGAGTTTGATTCTGAACAGCTCAAGGTTGACTCAGCCTTCCATCCTTTCAAGGTCGATAAAATGAGGACCCAGATTGTGGAGGGCAATATGCTGACTCTGTAAAACCGCTTAGAAAGGGCTGTAAAGCACTATGAAGCAATATATACTGTAAGTCTAAGTGCTATTGCTATTTGTGCTTGCTGATATAACAAAATTGTTTTTTTGAAAAGCAGCCCTTTTCAATAGAAATTAAAATAATATTGTTTGGATATTACAAGCATTTTCTTTGATATTGCTCTTACACAAACATCCTATTAATAATAGTCTAGTACAGGGGTGTCAAACTCGATTTCATTCACGGCCGCATCAGGGTTGTGGTTGACCTGGGGCTGGGTGTGTGTGGCCAAGGTTGATGTGGCCAGGGTGGGCAGGGCCAGCCTCCCTCCTTCTCATTCCCATCTCCCTCCCTCCTTCCTTCCTCCCTCCCTTCTTCTCCTTCTCATCTCCCTCCTTCTGTCCTCCCCCCTCCCTCCCTCCTTCTCCTTCTCCTTCCCATCTCTTTCCTTCCTTCTTCCACCTCCCTTCCCTTTCCTGGGGGAGAAAGCAACTCCCCCACCACCACTTTTAAATGTGGACATTATCAAGAGCTAGGGATGCCCATTCAGATACCTGCTGCTCAGTGGTGGGTTTCAACATTTTTTGCTACTGGTTTGGTAGGCATGGCTAGGTGGGGGTGGGAATGTGACTGAGTGGGCATGGCCAACTTGACGTCACTCACGCCCACTCAGTCACATGACCCCCCCACCTACCCACACCCACAGGAAAAAGTAGGAAAATTTTTGGAATTTCCACCTATCTACCCCCGCCCTTCCTTCACCGGTCGCCCCCATTTCCCCTCCTTAGTGGCCCCGGTCCTAGCCCTCCTTCCTCCCCCCCCACTGCCACTTTGTTCAGGCTGATTACCTTCCGGAGTGGCTGGCCCAGGTCCAGAAGGCAAGCTGACCGGTGTTTTCGGCACCTCCCCCAGCCAGCTGCCGCTGCTGGAAAGCGGCTGGCAAAGAAACCTCCCAGCCGCCTCCTCTTTGAAAGCTGCTTTGCCACAGCAAAACAGCTCTCAAAGAGGCGGCGACTGGCCACAGGCCACCAAAAAGTACTGGAGGTTGCGGAAAAAGCTGCTGCCATCGCCGCCATGTTCTTCATGCATGCGCATCCCATTGGATTTACAAGGCAATGGGATGCATGTGCACGAAGAATATGGCAGTGATGAACATGGTGGGCAGGGTGAGCGAGCGGTGACCAGGGGACTGGTTTGGGGGCATGGCCAGCCAGCCATTGCTACTGGTTCGGTGACCTTGGCCAAATTTCCGACAATGGTTTGTGCAAACCGGTGCGAGCCAGCTGAATACCACCTCTGCTGCTGCTTGTTTTTTCCCAAAAGAAAAAGAGAAATTGTCCATCTGTTCTCTACTCTACTTCCCATTTTTCATGTGTATCTCTCTTTCTCAATTTATATTCTACTTTGTCTAGGCTATGGTAGCTAATGTTGGTTATATATTTTAACCAATCCTAATTTTATAAATTGAGGCAGACATCTTACATTCATACAATATAACAATGGAACAAGTTAATGAGACAAAGCAGCAGAAGTGTGAACCCATTACACACATCTATTATTAAGTTGGATAGCTTTGAAGATCACCTGGAAGACCTTTGCTTGGGACAAGTTGATTATGAATGTACATTACAAACTGTAAAATGTACAGATGGGGGAGGGGATTTGCAAAAGAATCATAGCAGGGAGAAATAATTAATCCTTTTTAAAAGTAAGCCATAATTCTGGATTTACAACAGGCAGTTGCTATATTCTTATAACATATTACGCCCAAATAAACAAACCACACTTCACTCAACACATTTTGCTAATGCATGCTAAAAAAATGGCCAGGTACATACAACATGCTGAGCTATGCTTTTAGCTAGGCAAGTGTGCTATGGAAATACCACAATTTTGTCTTAAGATGTATAATTTAGCAAAATAATTGCTAATTTAGAAAATTATTTTGCTGCTGTTGCAATAATGAAATGTTTTATGACACTTAACGGGCTTGAGAAAATCATATGAAAACCTGCTAGACTTTGGACTTTGAAGTGCATTTCTAGTAGTTAGATGATTATTGAGCCTACAGGTTTGCCAAAAAGGCAAATACTACTGTGGGAAGCCACCCACCCTCCTAGAAGAATGAAATATTTTGGGAAATATTTTTTTAAAAAGGCAGGATAAAATATTTCAGCTAAAAGAGAAATAAAAAAACTTAAGGGAGACAAAAACTCAGAGGCCTAGCATCTTGCCCCCAGCAGATATTTTGTGCTCATTAAGAAAGACTGGACCAGCCTATCTACAAAACAAAAGACCTTCCACTCCAGGGTGAAGGGATTAAGATATGACCCTTGAGGACATAATAGGATTAACCCACTAAAACACAAAGCTCACTACATTGCACAATCTCCTAAGGACATTGCATCACTCTCAGAAACTTCAACCAAACTTAACTCAGACAATCTATAGAGCCAGCTATAACCCCTACATGGCCTAATGGGAGTCTGACAACAGCCAATAAAGTACATGTTCTTGCACAGGAACAGGAAGCTCAAGTGCAAAGCCCACGAGAAGGTATAAAAACCCCTCACTCTCAACTTCATGTAGTCAGCTGCCCAGAATCACATGGTGGTTCTGCTTCATCAATAAATGAACCCTCTTCCCAATCAACCTCCATTTTGTCTCCCGTGCCTTTCTCCTGGCTTGGAACTGAACCAGATGGATATTTTTTCCCACACTATCTATATAAACTCATTCATTTTGTTGTTGTTTCTACTTTGTAACACAGGGATCCTCAAACTACGGCCCGCGGGCCAGATATGGCCCGCCAATGCAAAGCATCCGGCTCGTGGAGTGGTGGGATTAAACCCCGCTCCCTTATTCTCGGCTTTATTTCCAGCGAGCATCCACTCCAGCCACACTTCTTTCACCGGTTGAGCTGCACTTCTGATCACACAGCTGCTGCTGAAGGTAAGGCCGAAGGGTGTGGGGGAGGGCCAGTGAGGGATGATATGAAAAGCTTTAAAAAGTACTGCCTTAAATTAAAAGCCTTTGAAAGCAATGTAAACGGATCTTTTTCACAGTTGGAATGGGGATTTTTTTCTTGTCTTTTCCTAGCTTGGAAACGGGCTGCTTTAAATTAAAAGCCTTTGAAAGCAATGTAAACAGGATCTTTTTCACAGTTGGAATGGGGATTTTTTTCTTGCCTTCTCCTAGCTTGGAAACTGGCTGCTTTAAATTAAAAGCCTTTTTCACAGCCATGTGAACCAGGGCCAGTGTTTGAGTAGGGGAGGGGCTACTTGTAAAGTAGCACTTTTAAAGTGGGTGGGTGGGGGATATGTCTCCATGTCTCCTAGCTTTTTCAAAATCAGCTGAAGTTGGCTAACACTAATTCAAAAGCAACACCATTATAATGCCTTATAATTCACCCACTGCTTTGATTTTGCAATACATAAAGTACATCCACTAAATCAGTTGCTGAACAATTTTGGTAGCTTTCATGTGTGTGGATACACAGGCACAAGTGTGGCAAAAAACAAATCAGTTTGAATTCTCCTTCAGGCTTAAAAGACCTTTAGTTTTGTAATCCCAAATAATTAAAAAAAAGTAGTCTGGTCTCTTATTCCTTCCCTGGCCGCCTCCCCTGTTGGCAAGTTCTCACAGGTCCTGCTGCTGCTGCTTGCAAAGAGCCCCAAAGGCTTTGGCTGGAACCAAAGGGGAAGGAACCAGGTGGGACCATAGAGAGGAGAAGGGAGGGGAGGTGCATTCTCTCAGCCTGTCATTACTTCTGTGCTATAGCGATCCCTATTTTTTGTAGCTCTGTATTTATTGGTATCTTACTAATAGCAATTTTGCATCCCTAGGAAACATGTCAAAGAAAAGAAAAATTGACTCTGAGTGCAGGATCTTCAAAGAACAGTGGACTTACGATTACTTTTTCGTGCAGTACAAAGAAAAAACTGTTTGTCTGATATGCCAGGATTTAGTGACTGTGTTCAAGGAATACAATTTGCGTCGACACTATGAGACTCGACATAAAGACAAATATGATTGTTTGGTCGGACAAGCAAGAAAAGATAAAAATATTAAAACTGAAAAATGGATTGATAATGCAGCAAAATGCTTTTGTGAAGCAGAAGCAGGTAAATATGTCATCACTGCAAGCAAGTTTTCAAGTTGCCAATTGTAGAGGGAGAATTTGTTAAAGAATGCCTTCTTTCTGTTACCAAAGAGATGTGTCCAGAGAAGGCTGATTTGTTTAGTACAGTGAGTCTTTCAGGACCTACAATCACAAGAAGGATTGAAGAAATGGGGGACAATTTGATGAATACTTGCATCACTTGTTACGACTGGCAGTGATAAATATGGAACCGGACATTGACTTTCTCATCAGCCAAAAACAGGCCCACACTTCCCATTGAATTAGTATATTTTTGTTGGTTAAAATCATTCTTCATTTTAAATATTGTATTATTTAACTTTTTTTTGCACTACAAATAAAGATATGTGCAATGTTCATATAAGTTTGTTTATGTTTGTTTCAAACTATAGTCTGGCCTCTAACAGTCTGAGGGACCATTATCCCTCCTTAATTCACAATTGGATGCTTGGTGGGGGGGGGGTGTTGTGTTGATTCTCGCCTTCTGCCTGCTTCCAATGTCTCTCAATGCCCATCTTGGGGGTTTTAGTTGCAGTCTTAATTGCTGCAGTTCTCAGTCTTGTTTATTGTGTGGTCATCTGAAACATGATCAGGAGTCATTTTGAAGGAAATCCTGTTCGTTTTATTCCTTTTTCAATGGACTATTTTAAGGAGCCTGAAGCAGCTGTTTTGTTTTTTTTTAATTTGATTTATATACTGCCCTTCTCCGGAGACTCAGGGCGGCTTACAATGCGCTAAGCAATAGCCTTCATCCTTTTGTATATTTATACAAAGTCAGTTTATTGCCCCCACAACTGGGTCCTCAATTTACCTACCTTAGAAAGGATGGAAGGCTGAGTCAACCTTGAGCCTGGCGAGATTTGAACCTGCAGTAATTGCAGGCAGCTGGTCTTAATAACAGGGTGCTTTAGACCACTGTACTACCAAGGCTCTTATAATGTAGTTAGGCAAGTGGCAAGAAAGTTTGTGCTCTTTTTCCCTTTGGGGGGTGGATCTTATTAAATAAATAATAAGAGGTATAATAATAATTCCTTGGCTTGAATAAGAACATCTTAGGAAGGAGAAAGGCATAAAATGGACAGTTAAATTGGCCACGCCCACCCAACCACATGACCACCTAGCCATGCCCACCCAGCCAGTTCGGGCCCCCAACAGTCTGAGGGACTGTGAATCGGCCCCCTGTTTAAAAAGTTTGAGGACCCCTGTTGTAACACATTATCAGGAATAATTAAAACACTGTTCTGCTAAATGAAACTATATCAAGAATGTTAGTTTATTATTTAGGCTCCAAGCTAATATTTTTTATAAGATTCTTACCTGTTTTCATGTCTTTCCAATACTCGGACAAAAAAGTCCTTGACTGAATAGTGTAATTTGATATAGGACTATGATTTTCTATCCCACGGCTCCATGTAAGAATTACAGATGTATTTTTAATGTCTTCTACTTTGAGTCCACCAGGGGGTCCTGGGGGACCTGAAAAATATTTCCATGAAAAATTATGACATAATCTTGTCAAAAAGTGAACCAATGTTTTAAACTGTATCATCATATTTACCTGAGTTAAATTATTTCATTACAACTTTCTGTAATCTACTATTCTCACATATTAAAATTTAATCTGCAAAATCTCAGGTAAGATGGCCAAATGAAATGTATACTAAATATACTAAATAAATATTAAATACTAAATAAATAAATAAATAAAATAAATAAATACTAAATAAATAAATATAAATAAATAAAAATAGGGAATACTAAATTGGAAAGGGTATTTTATAAAGTAACATCATAGTTTTGGTCTCATACAAATCTCATACACTGGTGCGAGCAGACAGTGGGGGCGGTATGTGAATGGCAGGCATGCGTGTGCAAATCTCCATTGGTGTGAGTGGCGCATGCGCACACCCTCTACTCATGCAAATGGAGCTTCGCATGCAAGCAGAGGGTGCTTGCGCTCGTGCACAAAGCTCCATTGGCATGAATGGTGAGCATGAGTGGCAGGCATTTGTGCTCGCGTGCGAAGTTCACCTCGCAAGAACAGAGGGAGCTTGAGCTTAAGGTGCTCGTGGCGAAGCTTCATTCATGGGAATGAAGCATCACACATGAGCACTCTCTGCTTGCATGAGGGGAGCTTCGCCTGGGTTGAACTTCACACGCAAGCTCAAGTGCCCTCCTCTCAAGCACCCTTCACTCGTGCAAATGGAGACTTCTTTATTGCAAAAGTTTTACGATTACATTTTCACCCCTTTTCTCCCCCACCCCCCCAAACTTCCCAACCTCCCTAACCCTCCCTAACCCTCCCCTCCCCCAGACTTCCCTATAATATACTCATACTCATAAAGAACCCTAATATCACACTTATATATAAACTTGAACCCCTCCCTCCCCTATATAATTTTTCTCTTTACCTCATTACATTAAAAAATTTCCAATACATTATTTTCAAATAAAAGCTATTTGATACTTTCTAGTTTGATATTTGTTCTGAACATATTCTATCCACTTTTTCCATTCCCATTCATAAGTCTCTTGTGAACAATCTTTTAAATATGCTGAAATCTTCGCCATCTCTGCAAAACTGGCCATCTTCAAAGTCCATTCCTCGATAGTGGGCAAAGCTTCATTCTTCCAGTATTTACCTATCAACAATCTTGCTGCTGTTATCATATACAATATCAATTTTGTTTCACCCAATTTAAAACCCTTAACTATACCCAATAAAAACAGTTGTGGAGAAAATTGAATTTTTTTCTTCAAAACATTCTGCATGACCCACCAAATTTTTATCCAAAAAGCCTTAACTTTCCTACAGGTCCACCAAACATGATAATACGTAGCATCCGAACATTCACATCTCCAACATTTTGGCTGAACATTAGGGTACATACATGACAACTTTTTGGGATCTAAATGCCATCTATAAAACATTTTGTAGAAATTTTCCCTCAGATTCTGCGACTGTGTAAATTTAACATTCTGAACCCAAATTTTTTCCCATGTTTCCAGCATCACTGGTTCTTCAAAATTCTGTGCCCACTTAATCATACAGTCTTTAACTAATTCGGTTTCTGAATCTCTTTCTAGCAAAACATTATAAAGCCTTTTGATATGCATTGGACCTTTCTCTCTTATATGTCTAACCAATTCTTCCTCATGCAACATAATACCAGTTTTTTGGTCCTCTTTCCATCTCAATTGTAATTGATTATATTGTAGCCAAGTTAAATTAATCCCTTCGTCCAACAGTGTCTGCAATGTCTTCAGCTGCCATCTACCCGCATCTGTAAAAAGAACCTCTTTATATAAAACCCCCCCGAGTGACATTATATTTGTATTCCACAAAGTATGACCAAGATCCAGCCATAGCGGTATTTTATAATCCCATTTGAGTCGGTGCTTCTTCCAAACTCTCATCAAAGAATCTCTAAGTATATGACTTTTAAATACTTTATCTACTTTGTCGTCGTAAAATAAGTAAGCATGCCATCCAAATTCAAGATCAAAACTTTCTGCATTCAATATTCCAGTCTTTTTCCTTCCAAACCAATCACTTGTTAAAGTTAAAGCTGCTGCATCATAATATAGCTGTAGGTTTGGAAGTTTAAGACCTCCTCTTTCTGGAACATCTTGCATAATTTTCAATTTCACTCTCGGCTTCTTCTCGTTCCAGACAAACTTATTCACTCCAGATTGCCAAACTTTCAATTGTTTATCACTTTTAAGCACTGGAATCATTTGAAACAAAAAAAGAAATCTTGGCAAAATATTCATCTTAACTGCTGCTATTCTTCCAAGTAGAGACAGCTGCAGTTTTTTCCAAGTCTCCATATCTTTCTGCACCTCTCGCCACAACACCTCATAGTTATTTTGAAACAATTTCATATTTGATTCTGCAACCTGAACTCCTAGATATTTTACCTTAGGTACAGTCTCAAAACCTGCCCTCCTTTCAAGCTCATGTTTACGATCTTGTGTCATGTTTTTAGCTATCATTTTAGTCTTTTTTGAATTCAGTCTAAAACCTGAAACTTTACCATAGTCTTGTATAATGTCCTTCATCAAGATTATTGATTCCATTGGTTGTGATAGGGTAACAACCAGATCATCTGCAAATGCCTTTATTCTGTAATCCTCTTGCCTAATCTTTATACCTTTCAAGATATTAGAGTCCCGTATTGTATTTAACAAGACTTCTAGTGTTAAAATAAATAAAAGTGGGGACAACGGACATCCCTGTCTTGTTCCTTTTTCAATTTTAAACTCTGTTGTCAGACTTCCATTAATAATGATCTGTGCCTTTTGCTCTTGATAAATTGCCGAAATCGCCTGTATAAATTGATCCCCAAAGTCCATCTTTTTCAAAGTCTTTAATAGAAAATTCCAATCCACTCTGTCAAAGGCCTTCTCTGCATCCAAGAAGACCAGCACTGCAGGGATCTGTTTATTCTTCTCAAGATATTCCAATAAATCTATTACTTGCCTTACATTGTCCTTCATATATCTGCCCTCGATAAATCCCGCTTGATCATCATGAATCACCTTCTGAATTACTGGCATCAACCTGTTGGCTAGTACTTTCGCAAAAATTTTATAATCTGTATTCAAAAGAGATATTGGTCTATAGTTCTCTGGTTTTTTAGGACCGATTTGTTCTTTTGGTATCAAAGATATGTAAGCTGTTGTCCATGATGGGGGTATTTTACCCCCTTGCTGAATATTGCAAAATAAATCTCTAAGTTGTTCCACCATTTCAGCTTGCAAAGTTTTGTAATACACTGCAGTCAAGCCATCCGTACCAGGAGCTTTGGCTGTTTTTAACTGTTTAATTGCTACTATTATCTCCTCCTCTGTTATAGGATAATTCATTCTTTCCTTTTGTTGATCAGTAATTTTTGTAACTCTTTTATCGTTTAAATATTTTTCTATAAGTCCATTCTGCACCTCCTCTTTGGCATATAATTTAGTATAATAGTCCACAAAAGCTTCTTTAATTAATTTTTGTTGAAAGATTTCTTTCCCTCCAATATCAATACTATCAATAGTCCGTATTTTTTCCTCAATGTGTAAGCCAACCATCTGCCCGGTTTATTAGCGTTACAAAATGTGTTATGCTTCGCATATTGTAAGTTTGTTGCAACTTGTTCCGCCATAAGCATTTGAAATTGGTCTTTCAAAAGTTTTATAGCACTACGTATTCTTTCATCTGTTGGATTTTTAATAAGTAACTGTTCTTTATTCTTTATTTCTATTTCCAGTTCAGATCTTTTCTTTTGTCGGAACAGTCTATGTTTAGAGTTCATGTAGATAAGTACCCCTCTCATATAAGCTTTACTTGCATCCCACACAATTTCAATTGGGGTACCTTTATTCAAATTTATTTCAAAAAATTCTTTCAAATGCTTTTTAAGTTCTGTTATATTTTTTTCATATCTAAACAAATTCTCATTTAATCTCCAAGAACGTCTCTCAACCTTGTCCATCTCAATTTCTATCCATACTGGGCTATGGTCAGTCAAAGTTCTTGGAAAAATCTTTGTTCTTTTTGTCTTAACAAGTAAATCATCTGTCAACAAAATAAAGTCAATCCTAGAGAAGGATCTGTGTCTGTCAGAAAAAAAAGTATAGTCCAGTTCTTTTGGATTATGTATTCTCCAAACATCTTTTAGTTCCATATCTTCTTTCATGTCAAAAAAGGTCTGTGGTAATCTGATTCTAGACTTTGCCAAACTCTTTTTATCTAATTTAGAGTCGATTACTCCATTCCAGTCTCCCATAATTAAAATAGTTCTGTAATCCCATTGCAATATTTTAGTATGTAACATCTTATAGAAATAGTCCTGTTGTTGATTGGGAGCATAAATCCCAATCAGAAGAATTTGGCCATTTGATATAGACAATTCAATTGCTACAAACCTACCATCTTCATCTGTTTCTATAACTTTAGCTGTTAACTTTTTATTTACATAAATAACCACACCATTCTTTTTTTGCGAAGTTGAAGATATAAAATGTGTTCCTAGTTTGGAGTTTATCAAATATTTTTGATCTTGAGTTGTGATATGCGTTTCTTGTAAACAAATTATATCATTATTAAATTGTTTCAAATATGTAAATAATTTCTTCCTTTTCTGTGCTGAATTCAACCCATTAACATTCCAGGATAAACACTTAAGCATCATCAGCCTCTTTCTGGAGCAAAGAGCAAAATAATTGAAGATCATCCGAAAGCTTCGATCTCGCTCCTCCCATAGCTCCAATCTCTTGTGCAGTACTCTTATCTGCCTCCTTGTCTTGTCTTTCCTGTTGTTGTTGTTGCTTTTGTTTAAGTAACTTAGCTTGAGCTCGAGTTATACGTTGATCCTTAACTTCAATCATCCGAGCCGGGTCCAAGATTGGAGAAGATTCCAGCAAGGGCTCATCCAGAAAACCTCCTTCTGCACCTTGCACTTCTTCTAATTCCTGCTTAAACTGTTCTTGCAGTTCTCGTTGAGGTTGCTTCTCTTCACTCTCTTTAATCTCCAAAACTGTAGATGTACGTGGGGATGGTGTTCTTTCCTTGAGAATAGTAGTGTAGAAGTGCTGTGCCTTCTCCACGGTATTCAAACGGTATCTTTGTCCCTTGTATCTGAAAATTATGCCAACTGGTGCGTCCCACCGGAAAGGTATCTGTAAATTTTGCAATTCCTTAACGAGAAAACCAAATTCTTTTCTAGCTTTCAGCATTTTAGGAGGTAATTCTTTATAAATTCCAATTCGTGAGCCCCCCACTTGTACTGAAGTGTAAAAGGATTTTTGCAGGATATCATTTCTTATTTCTCTATCTGTAAAATATATGACTACATCTCTGGGTAATTGTCTTTGTCTGGCCACCCAAGAGTTCACTCTGTAAATTTTGTCTATTTTGTGAAAAACCACATCTGGATTAACTTGTAAAATCTTAGCCAGGGCCTCAGAACAGACTTGTCTCAAATCCTGTCTTTCCTCCTCTCGAATTCCTCGAATCTGTATAGCAAACTCCATTGCCCTGAATTGTATCATGACAATCTCATCTTCAACTCTCTGCATTTTATTGTCAACATCAGCAATTTTATAATCATTGTCTTTCATCTTAACATTAACTTCTGATTTAAATTCTTCAACTTTAAAATCAACTTTCCCAATAAATTCTGCCAGGCCAGATGCCACTTCTGATATTTTTTTGGTCACCTTGTTTTGATTCTGTTTCACCATATCTTTAACTTCATTAATTTCCTGCATAAATTCCTGGTGTGATTTTTGAAGTTTGTCATCTATCCCCTGATGTGATTTTTGAAGTTTATCATCTATCTCCTGTTGAGATTTTTGAAATTTATCATCCAAAGTTTTAGAAATAAATTCTTTTAAATCTCCCACATCAAATTCTTCTTTCTGGGTCTGTAACTGCTGAGCAGGGGGAAGTTGCGTTTCATGTTTATGTGTGGGGGATCCCCCCCCTGTTGCCTTCCCTTCCTGCTTCTTTGAAGCCATCCTGCCACGTGATCTAGTTTTTCTAAAGAGGGAAGTTCCTTTTCCTTTCCCTCCTGCACAAAGACTTCTTAAAAAGTCCCCCAGATTTGATCAAATAAAGGTTGAAGTAAAGCAAAGTCAAATTTTGAAAGGGAGAAATTTTCCAATTGTTTCTCTTATAACAAGCAAAGCAACTTTGTAGCAACTTGGAAACTTTATAACAAAGCAAAATAACTTCACCAATCCACACTCGCTGGCTCGTTAACTCTGAGGCTAAACGCCATGTTTTTTCTAAGCACTTTCACTCATTCGCATTTTCTCAGGTTGAAAAGTCAACAAAGCGTTTCCAAGATTCAGGATTCAGATAGTTTCACTGTTGATTAAAGCTGGTTCTTTCGCTTTAAGTTTCCTGCAGCCGGCTTGTTCTGCAAAGGCAGACTCGTCCCACGTCGCCCGGAGTTTCAGCAGGTTGGGAGGGAGCCACGCCTATTCTCTCCCCAGAAGCTTCCCTGGGGGGTTACAGGGGCTCGACCTGTGCCCTGCGATCTCTCCTTCTTCAATCCTACGGATTTAGAAGTTTTCGAGCCGCTTCCTCGTCTCGGAGCGGCTCTACGGGCGGCGGGGCTGGCGGAGCTTCAAAAGGCGCCGCCGTCGCCGAAGACAGGGAAACCAGAAGCCCCAAATGGAGACTTCATGTGCAAGTGCAAGTGCCCTTTGCTCTTGCGAGTGGAGCTTCATGCATGAGCGCAAGCGCACTCCTCTTGCACTCAAAGTTCCATTGGCACGAGTGGAGGGCGCGCATGCCAGCCACTCATACCAATGGAGCTGTGCATGCACATCTGCCTGCCACTCCCACGCCCATCCCACGCCGGGTCAGGTTGGAGACCGCTATCTTAAAATGCAGAATATGATCTCTTTTTCTTGAATCCCATCTCTTATCTATAAACAAATCCTTACAGCCTCAGTGTTTCATTCCTGATCAGGAAAAATCCATTAAGGGTTACCAGAGATACCAACATATCTATTTTAACCTTGATCAGGTATGTCAGTTTTATATTCCTTCCTATATTTTCTTCTAATGATCTTTAACTTTAGTCCACTCAAATAATGTCCTAGAACTTGATTTACTTTCATTTTTGTTTATTCCTTCTCACAAAATTTTTCAAAGCTTTAATAAACTTATTTTGTAAATCCATTACAGGAAAATATGTAAGTCACTCCATTTATTATTTGTATATCCCTTCAAATATTAAGACATCAGATGCTTTCTTTTAAATGTCCAGCGCAACATCTTTTTCCATGTCATTCTTGTACCCTATCTTCTGTAAATCAACTTTCTTGTCAGGTAGAATATGTTCCCTTTCCATAACATCTCTTAAACTTAGTCTTTCCATTGAAGCAGATGTTTCTGTGGGCACTATTAAAATTAACTTCTGAGTTGTTGTTCAAAAATATTAATCAATATGTCCAATGTTAAAATATTTTGCTTCATTCTGTAATTGTAGAGTTTATGAGTTCTTTGTAATTTTTGTAGTTGTGATATTTAGTTCTCTCTATTCTCTGATTTTTAAATTTTCATTTTAGTTGTCGTTAAAGAAAATTCAAAACAAAAGCATTTTCCCATAGGAGGAATTTTTTACAATTAAATCCAGAATCTTATATCAAATTTATTTGGATCCTTAGTCCATTTTTTACTTTTTGAAATTAAAAGATAACTTTTTTTGCTGCTTATCGGCTCCTAAATTTTTTAAAGTTCTTAAACTTGTAAGTAACTTCACTAAAGATTGAAAAAACAGTGAAGTAAAATGTGTGGTGTGATGGGACGCAGTAGCTCAGTGGCTAACACACTGAGCTTGTCGATCAAAAGGTCGGTAGTTCAGCGGTTCAAATCCCTAGGGCCGCGTAACGGGATGAGCTCCTGTTACTTGTCCCAGCTTCTGCTAACGTAGCAGTTTGAAAGCACGTAAAAAATGCAAGTAGATACAACAATACAACATACAAAACAGAAAAACATCAATCAAGTCTTACGACTTGCTCTTAAAGCTATCACATCGGTAGACTGTTTTAATTAATAAAAAAAAACTTATCCTTTAAAAAAAATGCAAGTAGAAAAATAGGGACCACCTTTGGTGGGAAGGTAACAGCATTCTGTGCACCTTTGGTGTTTGGTCATGCTGGCCACATGACCACGGAGACATCTTCGGACAGTGCTGGCTCTTCGGCTTTGAAATGGAGATGAGCATTGCCCCCTAGAGTCGGGAATGACTAGGAATGACACAGGTAAAGGTAAAGGTTCCCCTCGCAGATATGTCCTAGATCTGCAAGGGAATCTTTACCTTTACCTAAAATGTGTGGATCCAAAATTTTCTAATAATTTTACAAGAGTTTCAGTTTTAAAAAGTTATTAGAAGAAGTATGCAAAGTTAGTGTCCTTTCAAGGATGCTAACCATGGTTTGAACAAGATGGCTATTTCCTCATCTCCCCGAGTTCTAAACTTGGCTGCTGTCTTATTGTCTTTGTGAGGGCAGCTATCTGGAATACTTGTAGGTGATATCAAGTCCTCTTTTTCTGGAGTAGAATTATCAGAGAGATGATCTACTCGCCAGTTCTTCATTCCACCTCAGTTGCCGACTCTGATTTTTGTAGAGCTGTCTTTAGTCCATCAGGTCTTTCTCTTGAAACACAACTGGAATAAATGTTCAAAGTTCTTTCCAAATTATTGGAAGTTGGAAAGTGAAATATAATTGCTTCCCTTTGTCATATTTCTAGGGATGATTAATTCTGGGAACAGGATCTGATTCTTATATGTTAATTCCTGTTGGAAATCCTGTACACCCTCCCACCCACCCCAACTTTATGTGATAGTGTTATAATGAATAATGTGGGAATAGCTTAATTTTAAAAAATCAAGAAAATATTTTACCTCTCACAACAAGATCAGCTGAAGCTGTGGCATTATCAACAATTGTCTGAGCAACACAAGTGTATCTTCCAGCATGTCGCAACTGAGCATTCTTGACAATAAGTTCACCATTGTCTTTTATCTACAAATCAGAAAAAAAATCTGTAACAGTCCTTTAAATTTAAATTTCATATAGAAGTCAAAATACTCCTAAAAATAAATCAGTAAAATGAATAAGACATCTATTTCTGAACTGCCTATGGCTCTTAAAAATAATATAAATATCCTTGATATCAATTAATTATATTGTATTTAAGATACATATTAAAAATTGTGAAATCAGATATCACTTTCAAAGTCAGTAATATTTAATCTTACAACATAAATTGTTATTATGTATCAATATAATAATTTGTATTATGAACAATAAAATGGCTTTTAAAATCATTATCTCCCCTTTTTTGCAGAATACCAATCTTTAGTATTTGTATTACTTGCTGCAAGGAACATACTGACATAGTTAAAGTTTTATTTCTGTAGCTGTCTCTCAATTACAATCTACTTAAATGTATGGAAGTAACCTTAAATCCAATACTGACCATTCAATATTTGGAAACAGAGTAATCAACATTTATAATTCATAGCCATATAAAAATTATAGATTGCCCCAAAATATATTGCTTAAATATGCATTTTAATAAGGTCCTCAATCACATTCTCATATATATAAAAGAATATTTAGAAATGTGGCAAAATAAAGCATATTTTAACTATTATTCTGGAATAGTTAATTTTTTGCTTATTCTTAATTCATTCCAGATTATTCATTTATTTCAAGGTATTCAGGATCCTAGTGAGGAACAGGAAAATAAAAGATCTTCTGGGGTTATTACAATGTTCATTTAAAATGTGTTTATTGAAGCATTAGAAAAGAATACAAAAATGATTTTTGGAGCACATTTTTAAAAAACCTTTAACACAAGGAGTCTTAATGTTTTTCAACAGTAAAAAGTGAAGTTACCTCAGTAATCTACCATGTCCAGAATATAAATGTTCATTCATGAGGCAACCATGTTCTGTTTGGCACTATATTTAAATCAGCCTATGTTTTCCAATTATGGTGTTCAAGTCAAGCCAGTGTTCCTCATTAAGTAAAGTTTCATGATATACATCAAACATTTTCCCAATGCATTTATTTTTTTAAAATCAAAATGCACAGATAAAAACATGAGCAATTCTGATACTGGTATTCTGAGTACCTGATCTGAAGCATTAAAAGAAGCTCCTGGGCATCCATTAGATACATTGGGAGAGACAGCTGGAGAATACAAAGTAAAGCAATGCAGCACTTCAGATCTGCTGTTTCAAGGGAGAACATCCTTGCTTAAGGAGCAAGGTTTGAAGGTTGTTTGGCTCAAGCCATGCATTTAAAAAAAATAAGAATTCTCTATGGGAGTTTTCCTCCTTTGGAACAGCTTATCCTCTATGGCAGGGGTGTCAAACTTCCGGCCCATTGACCAGATGCATCACTCACTGGCCACGGCCATGCCCGTATAGCAAAGGGGAAAAAAGTCCTGATACGTCACGTGACACTGCTGTGATGATGTGAGTTTGACACCCCTGTTCTAAGGCAAGAGTACATATGATGACCTCTTCCAAACTTCACAACTGTGGTTGTTCCAAAAGTTTTTATAACTAAATTTTCTATTATTTTTGCATAGGAAAATCCAGCCCTGGAGTCTTTGGGCTTGGATGGGCTTTTGAAGAAATCAACAGAGAATATTTACGCAGGAGGATAGTAAGTAATCTGTCAAGTTTCCATTTCGCAAGAATGTCATAATAGTCAGATGATCCAGTGGTAATTGTTCATGCAGAATTCTAAACACACAATATGATGTGTTTTTTTCCTCTTTTAATTTATTTCCATATGATAGTTCTGAAGAACTATCATTTATTCCTAACATATAGGAATAAATTAAAAGAGAAAAAAATGTATGAACCATTGTGTAACTAGGTGAGTCATATGGATGTATGAATCAAAAACTAATTTAATGTATTAATCAAAAACTAATCTCAATTCTGTAGGATAATATACAGTATGTTCTATATTATAATTTATTTTCCTGTATTAGGAAATTCTAGTTCTTATCATAAGTCCAGCAGACATGTTGCAACCCACCCACCCCTTGAAATTCCATCACAATAAATATGCCTGCCCAAGGTCTAAGCTTAGGTTCAAATCTGCACTGTAACCACTGTTTTACTGTTTTACTGTTGAGTTAAATGGGGAAGTGATTTTTCAAAAAAAAAAAAAAAAGTGGTTGAAAAGAAGGGATACCTTCTATGTATAGTCCTGAAAATTGGACAACCCCAAGAACAGAAAATAAACAGTTGCGCATTAATTAATATACAGATTGATTCTCAGTTAATTAATTTATGCTATTTGTATATGCTGGTTCCACATAGACTCCCAGTGGTTTATATAAACACACATACCGTGTTTCCCTGAAAATAAGACCCAACCAGAAAATAAGCCCTACCATGATTTCAGACTGCTCGTAATATAATCCCTACCCCAAAAATAAGATCCAGCTAAAATTGTCAGCCAGATGGACGCATTTACATTAGTATTGTGGTTGCCCAATGTGTGTGTGTGTGGCCAGCTCAGTGTTGCTCGTGTTCACCTGTGGGGGGGAGGAGGATTTCTTTACCCTCCCTTACCTTCTTTTCTCCCTGAACATTTGCTGCTTGGCTCTTTCGGCAACTACAGAAGGGTCTGAAAGGGAAGAAAGTGCCTCCTCAGTCATCTGTTCTTCCCCAGATTGATTTCAGAAGCCCCGGTTGCTGCCTGGATGGCCCTGAGGCCCGGCTGCTGGGCCTGTTGCACCTGCTGCTGCTGGGGGCTGTTCTTTGGCAAGGCTGATGAGCGGCAGTGGGAGCAGCTCCCTGTACTGGCTGTGTGGCTGCTGCACAACCTGCCTGAGCTCAGCTCTGACCACCACCCTGCTGCTCTCGTGGTGCCCATGGACCAAGCTCTTGGTGCACCTGGCCTCTACCCACCCTGCCTGCTGGCCCTGCTGCTGCTGGGATACTTTTTGGCTGCAGAAGCCGCCATGTTGACTGCCGAGCAGCTACCCATGCTACTGCTGGCCTCACAGGGTCTCTTCACCCTCCTGGCTGTACTGCTCTCGGCCATCCTACTGGGCTGCTCCTGCCTGGCATAGGGCGAATCAGTTCACATCTATGACTTCCGGAGTGTCCCGCTGGCTGCCGGCTGGCCAGGGCCCCTTTGCCAGTGCCTGCTGGTGGAGCCATGCTGGCCACACTGCCTTGGCCACTGCTGACTTGGGCTGCTGAGTGCCAGCCTGCATGCCTACTTGCTGCAGGCTTTGGGCTATGGGCTGAGCCAGGCACTCTTCAGGCTCTTTGGGGCATGCTCCGGTGGGTGCTGCAGCTCTCATGCCAGCTATGTGAGGCAGACGTGGGGCTGCACCTGGCCGCCTTCCGGCCTCTACTTCACTTATTATTATTATTATTATTATTAGTTCAATTTATATGCCGCCTTTCTCAGGGCAGCTTACAATGCATTTTAAAAAAAATTATAAAAACATTTAAAAATTAAAACATTAAAACCCATTCACAACATTCATGTCCGGATCTCACAAGATCGCAACAGTGAGATCAACGGCCCCAGGCCTGCCGGAAAAGCCAGGTCTTCACCGCTTTTCAGAAGGCCAATAGAGTAGGGGTGGTCTGGACCTCAGGAGGTAACTGGTTCCAGAGAGCTGGGGCAGCCACAGAGAAGGCCCTCCCCCACGGGCCCGCCAGCTGGCTTTGTTTAGCTGATGGGACCCAGAGGAGACCAACTCTGTGGGATCTTACTGGTCACTGGGAGCTATGTGGTAGAAGGCGGTCTTGAAGATAACCTGGCCCTGAGCCATGTAGGGCTTTAAAGGTAATAACCAACACCTTGAATTATGCCTGGAGACCAATAGGGAGCCAGTGCAGCTCGTGGAGAATTGGTGTAATGTGGATGTATCTAGGTGCATCTTGTGGCTGTTCTGTTGCTGGTGACTGCCATTGCCTCTCCTTCCACCTGGCAAGGATGACGAGGTGAGGCAGGTGACATGGTTGGGTTGAGCTGCCTCCCTCCGCCTGCCAGACACCTGCTGAAGCCATTCAGAGCAGGGCAGGGGTGCACTGCCTGGCCTGCGGGGTGCCTGGGACAGCTTCAACAGGAGATAGTCAGACTGGCTGTGGACCATGGTCTGCTTCTCATGCTAGGTCAGCGCCCAGTGGAGGCTGCTGGGTAGCATCTGGGGCTTAGCAGCAGGCCAGGCCAGGCAGAAGGTGAGGCAGCAGCCACAGGTGAGATAGAGGCTAAAGGCAGCCAGGAACAGGGCCTGCAGGCTGGCGCTCAGCAGCCCGAAGATGGTGGCAGGTGAGGTGACACAAGTTTATTTATTTATTTATTTATTTTATGCAATTTATATGCCGCCCTATCTCTGAGGACTCAGGGCAGCTCACAACAGTAAAATGCATAATTCCTATTAAAACGATATAGAGTTAAAACCCAGTTTAAAACAGTTTAAAATTCATTAAACCCCCCCCCCCCCATCAGTCCAGGCTATGGAACAACCAGGTCGTCAACTCGCAGCGGAACAAACGAAGGTCAGGGGCCATCCGGAGCTCCAACGGAAGTTGGTTCCAGAGGGTGGGTGCGCCCACAGAGAAAGCTCTCTCCCTGGGGGTCACCAGCCGACACTGTCTGGCCAACGGCACCCTGAGGAGGCCCTGTCTGTGGGAACGCACCGGGCGATTGGGGATTGTCGCTGGCTGCAGGGGGTCCGACAGGTATCCCGGGCCTAGGCCATGAAGGGCTTTATAGGTGATAACCAGCACCTTGAACCTCACCCGAAGGGCAACCGGTAACCAATGCAAGCCGCGCAGGAGGGGTGTAACATGGGAGTGTTGGGACGCTCCCATCACAACCTGCGTGGCCGCATTTTGCACCAGCTGAAGCCTTCGAGTGGTCTTCAAGGGCAGCCCTAGGTAGAGAGCGTTGCAGTAGTCAAGACGGGAGGTGATCAGCGCATGAGTAACAGTGCGTAGGGCATCTTGGTCCAAGTAAGGGCCCAACTG